AATTTAGGTCATTTGTGACTGCTGTAACTCATATTGCCCCGCTTAAGTCTACGATTCGCTCCTCGTCACGTACGATGACAAATGACCCCCAAATCAGAGAAGCTCTACACAGTATAATCTATATCTGGACATTTTTATATCTGTGGCAGAGTGTTTCGTAAAGTCTGGGCGGGAGGGGGGGGGGAGGCTTCCGGGTGTTCTATGTCTGCCCGCTTAATCCTGTTGTGGGTCTTGAGAGTAGCGGCTTACTCAGGGGCTGGCAGGTGGCCTGGGTGGTCGACATGCTTGAGGACTTCGACGGATTCGCTGTTGCCCGTCCCGTAGGTGTCGTGGTGGTGGCACTCTTCGTGCACACGGGCCTCCTCCTGCACATCCAGTGCGTTCTGCTGCCGTCTTTGTTCTCGCTGTGTCGAGTATACCCCCTGTGACTCAGTCTGTAGCCACCCCGTTCACTAGTTAGTAATTTGGCTTCCTCCATCACGGCCTGATTGTGACTGGAATGGGTACTGGTTGCGGCGCAACAGGAATGCACAGTACCCCTGTTGGATTCCGCGGCGGGGTACACACATTATGACAATACCCCTTGTAACTACCTCACCAGGACGAAGATAGGACGAACAAGCAGGCCCGCCCTTCTGCCAAACGAAGTTGCCAGCTCCGCTTCGCTCCGCCGGCAACTCCGTTCGTCAGGGGCCGGGCCTGCTTGGCCTTTCAAGTCTCGTGATATACTGAAGAACATAATCAAATAAATAATGTGACCGGAACATCACTTGCATATTTAAGAAAGCTAACTTCCGACGGGGGGGCCTGCGGCCCTAGAGATTTGCTCCTTTCACATGACAAAAGACTGTAACGTGACAACACCGTGACTTCACCCCACCCTTTTGCTTTGCTTAAGAGAAATCCAAAAAAATAACCAGCGCAGTTTTTAGATCGTATTGTTTGTCAAACAGTCTCAAAACTTGACTTTTTCCCATTGTTTTCAATATATGTACCGCTGGAGCCGACACAGTGAAAGATACAGCAAATCCGAGGGTAGGTCCTGCTGCAGAAAAAACTCGTGAATGTAGAATCCGTCGGCCAGAAATTTCGTCCGTTTTGCTATATCTTGTACCGTTTCGGTGCTATGGGGCATTTATTGGCGAAAATAACGTGAAAAAGACAAAATGGGCTATTAAATCGTAAAAAAGGCATTATGTCTTAGGATTGTAAAGAGAGTAATACTTAAACCACACATTATGGGTCATAGCACACCCTCTTTTGGGCTTCAGGGTCCCTAGATTATCTAGTGTCACTAAAACGTTGATTTTTACATAACAATCTGTCAAAATTCGAACTTTTAATGAAAACCTTATTCATCGAACAGAAGTAGTTTCCTGTCCCTAAATTTAGAGTGATTAGTCCCCGACAAATGCTGTTAGTATGTCAAATTTTGGTGCCGGGAGGCTCTGTTCCCCTTTACCCGTGTCAGCGCCGCAGGCCTAGCTATATGTGCGCCAGGCGCGTCGCAGCGTAACAGTGTTTCGTGAGATATCGCGAAGCCTGTTACGCGAGACGTGGTCTAGCGTACATATAGCTAGTTTACTGGTCACATTATTTATTGTTTACGTTCTACAGTAAATCGCGAGACTGAAATGGTCGGGCCGCAGGCTCGACCATCGCCGCCGGCAGGCCAAGCAGGCCCGGCCCCTGTCGAACGGGGTTGCCGGCGCAGCGAAGTGGAGCTGGCAACTGCATTTGAGGGAAGGGCGGACCTGCTTCTTTTTTTAACGTACTCGTGTTCAAACCAGTAAACAAAGAGCCTCAGAAGGGCTTCTACGGGCTCTGAGACAGTTGAGCTGCTTCAAAACTGTCCCGGTTCATGGCGAGATATGCCGTCATGCCATGGTGGTATTCAAAATGTTGTCTCACCAATCACCAATGAAATTCTTGTAAATTATGTCCCTGGATTCAAGAGATCTTTCGAACATTTGCACAAGTCCCGGTCACCTCCCTTTTTCCACTGGAACCCTCATGATTTGCCGAACATTCTACCCAGTGATCATTTACATAATATTCGTATTCTGATGTGCCTTCTTTTTTCTCCCACTGTTCACACACTTTGCAATACGCACTTTTTATTATGATGTCTAGCACTTTACCTGTCAGCTGTCCAATCACTACAACAATCCCGAACAAACTAGTAAAACCCCTCTTCATCCGTGAACCATCATTTGAGACCGATACATACTTTGGGTTGTCAAACACTTTTTTTGCAGTAGTCTCTTCTTTTTCTTCTGCTGCTGCCTTTAGAATGCAGCGTTCAGCTACATTTCGAATAACAGTCAACAGAATTTTTGCAATGTTAAGATACCAGTTTTTGTCAACTGGGCAAGGCAGGTCCATAACACCACAAAAAAATGACATACCAGCGTGGGCAATGCCAAGCAAGCGAAAAGCCAGCACTGCTCTGGTGTTTATTTCATAACCGTTCTTGAGGTAGGGTCCACTGTTCACTAATTTAGGGAATCAAGCAGCACTGGAAACCATTTTGATTTTGAATCCCAAACCTCTCAGGTTCACTGGTTCAAAGGACACGGCACTACTACACTCCTCACAACTGACAACGCCTTGCAAATACGTAAACACAGTGAAAAATTCTATTATTCAATATCCGAAGTCTTTTACTTTAGGAATGAATTCATCACTCTTTCTGAGTTTACGCTTCGACGTTGAAGGTGGTGGTGAAGGTTTTGGAACTTGCGGTTGTTCTACTGGGTCGTGCGCTGGTTGACAATTTGCTGTATGACGATTGCCTCTGAAATTCCCCTTCGCCTTCTGCGGCTGCGAATGTCCTCCTCTTTTTCCCTTTCTATCCATGATTAATTACAAACAAACACAGACTATTCGCTACAACGCTTTGGTTATGTATCCCCAACAATGTGGCCCTGGCTGTTGGCTAGGAGATTGGACGCGCACTCGGCCAGCAGACCAGTCCCAGCGGAACGTTTGGGTCGTGCGAGAAGGCCGAGGAAGTGGCCGGAGCCTAGAGACGCGCGGGCGGAGTGGGGGAAGCGACGCCAGCGGTGAAGGCGCACCGCGTGCGCAGACGACGCTATGCAGAGCTGCGCGCGCAGGCTGCCCACTTGACTTGACTTGACTTGACTAACCGTGAGGCCACCCGTGGCCCAAGACGGGCGGGAAAATTCGAATTGAGGCCCGGGCCGACCTGGGTCGCATTCCAGACACCCAGAAGGAAATTTTAAGACAAAAAAAATAAATAAAATAAAAAATCGATTTTTTGAGCGTGCTGCACTAGGATCCCCCCTTAAAATCTATCATTTTAAATTAGAAACCGATTGACCCCCGAAATGTAACAAAATTTCAATTTTTAGCAGATGATACCTTACACTTACACTAAACATGACTAGACATAAGTATACATGAGGAAGGTAAGGTGCCATTGCTTTAACTCTCGAATAGGAAATATTAAAGAGAATCGATAGGAAGCTCATATATTGCGCTAGGCGGGATGGTGAAGCTGGTGTCCCATCGCTCGAGCGCGTCCGCCACGCCGCGTCCGCCACGCCACGCGTTGTTGCGCCGAGCCGAGCCTAGCCTAGCGGAGCCCTGAGCCGCCCGAGCCGAGCCGCGCCCGAGCCGAGTCGGCCGTGCTCCCCACCACCACTGGAGCCCCGCACCGCCTCTCTCCCCACCCCCGTTTCCCCAACCCCAACCTCTTGCCGCTGGGCAGAAAATATAGAAACAAAAGCTCAACTTCTAAACTTACATATACAAAGAAGCGGGCCGCCGGACCGAAAACCTTGGGCCAAGAGAGGCCTCGTGGTTAGTCAGGTCAAGGGGGCAGGGCAGGAGATGTGGGTGCAACTTAACATATTGCACTGTTGCGCTCCAAGTGGTACAAGTAGCCGGATTCGCAATCGCCGGTCTCTGAGCTCTGGTCGGCGGCGTCCCGCGAACTCCCACAGAAATATAGACTGGAATAGAATTTTTGACTTGGTATCATCTGCTTTCACGATCCGTGTCTGGTCGAGACTTTTTTAGCCCGCCCTTCTGCTTTCAAAAAAGCATTAAAGCGGGCTTATGCAACCGCTCTCGTGT